GTACCCGACTCTGAAAGGAACTTTACCGAAGTATTAGGTTATTGACACAGCTATTATTACATACAGGGGGGGGGTGCAAAAATAGGCATCAGTCAGTTATGTGATATGCGTGATACACGCTTAGGCGATCATGTATCTTTTCATACATGACTGACGAGGCAGACTTTTTCCTGCAGTAGGTTGCCATTTCTTTCTACGGTAGACCAGTTGCAATCCAATAGAACTAAGTTTGTCCTGCTATTTCCCCATAGCTGGGGTGGGGGGAACAATGGGCAATAAAAAGTTCAGTCTCAAGAGGCCTGCCTTCCCAGGTAGTATTTTTGCCCCGAAGGAGGACCAGAGTTAATCCCTAGCGCTTGAGGCTTACCCATTGGTCGAAGAAAACGGACTATTTTTTAACTTTCACTTCTATGTATACGTAGGCCTCTCGCTTGAATGAACTCGGACTTGTGCCATATTTAGTTCGAATTACAGTTGTCATGTTTTGTCCGGTCGATTTGAAGACAGCATTGATGACATCCAGTCCCAGGGATGACCATGGCTAATCTCTGGAATATCGAAGAGAGTGAATATTTTCGCCCTCTCTTTCACGTGTACGCATGTGGCTGATGGTCATATGTAAGCGTCACTCATTTTTATACTATTGTTCACCCAATACAAAGCCAAAGAGCTATTCACCGTATCGGTTTACTGAATGAGATTGTTGTAAGCGCGTAAAAGGGGGAAGTAAGGAGCGAATGTAATAAGGATATATAGAATAGGTAACAGTTGAGCCTAGACTTGAAGTGGTTAAATGATCAGTGTAGGCTACGGCCATATCACGTTGAAACACTAATTAATCCATAGATGAGGGAGAAGAGGTGGATTCATACCCTTATCAAAGGTATTGGCCCGTAAGTGAATATAACGAAACCGACTGGGATTGAAACTCGACTCTCCGATTAAAAATTTCGAGCTATTATCGCCTACATCACCTGAACATTTAGGCTTACACCATCTGGCATTCCCAAGCGGTCACCCATCTAGACACTGACCAGGCTCGACGATGCTTACTTTTAATGGCCGTACGGGAACTGGTGTATCAACGTGATATGGTCCTGAGTCTATTTGAGGTCTGAAGTGAGCTGGAGCCTCAGTACAACATTGAGGGTACAACCATTTATAATGACTGGGGAAAAACTGAGCGTGTGGGACTCCCACCTTAAGTTCGAGGCGGCTGGTCTATTTCGGGCCTGTAGTTTCTCGCACTCATTTGACTTCCAAATTATACTTGGCCTTCTGCTATATTCAGTTCGAGTGGGCGTTCCGAAATATCCCGATGTTCAGTCGACAACCCCCCCCTCAAAAAACCCAAAGTTCTGTCTCTCTCGTCTTTAATATAATATATATATATTTTATCCTAAACACAGGTTTAACACTATATATATATATATATATATATATATATATATATATATATATATGTATGTATGTATGTATGTATATATATATATATATATATATATATATATATGTATATATATATATATATATATATATAACAAAAAAAAGGTACCGATAAAACCCTTTCGATTATATTAAGTATAAAATAACGAATTTGTTTCAACTCAGTATTATTCAAATTTGAAAAGCTTTCCAGCATCAAAATAATCGATATTTCTGCCTATAAATTGAAGAGAAAGATGGCTGAATCAATCTTAGTTTCTGCGTTCTTATAACCATGCACTGAAAGTCACTTTCTTGCGTTGCGCATGCGTCAAATGGATAGGCATGTCGAGTTAGAAGTTTGTACTCCTCCGAGGTAATGGACTCCTACTTATCGTATTTCTAGCCATATACGATTTGTCCTTTAGTTTTTTTTATTATCCATTTATTTACTTACGTAAGTGATCAATTTAAGACTTGGAGCTTTTTTTGTTTTTAGGAGATATTTTTTTTAAATATTAGCTAAATGCCACAACTATTGTTACTGCTACTTCAAATATTTTTCTCCCTATTTTTGATGTCGTCCCAAAAGAAAATGCCATCTAACAAAATGCCAACAGCACATTTTATGCTTTTCCTTCTCTGTGAATTGAATCTTACAATTTATTTATTGACAGAACCTCATCTCTGTGGTTGACGTTCTTAAAAGCACTTGAATTTAAACTTAAGATAACAAGAAAAAATAAATAAGACGAAATAAAATATGCAGAAAAAAAATGCCACCCTGCGGCAAATGAGATGCACAGATAAAATTGCCGGGAACATTTCTAAGTAAAAGTAAATATCTACGTAAAATAATAGTCGAAAATAGCATAACAATGTCATAAGTTGTGTTTTCTTAAGAGAGTTTACGTTAATAACACGATAATTTAATGTATTAAAGAGAGATATGATACTCGCAAAGGAACGATAACATACAAGGAGTGGACTGAAAGGCTTATGGAGGACAGGATTTTGTTTAGAGATATAATGTGTAATAAAAGTATCTGTCAATATTTCTGAGATGAGGTATTACGTACACTATTTACAATATTCGGACTATCATCCTCATCTTTGTTGCCATATTTATCACAACGTGTCGGCCATTGTACACTCCGGCCTTCAAGTGTGAGTTCAATACCTGGTTAAGGCGGTGGAGAACTTGGAGAGGGGAATTAACAAGAGATGACTGATAACTGATATCCATTAGACATGGCACGTGGAATTAGATTAGTCTACCCCAGCGAGCGAAATAAAGGATCAATTTGACATTCCAACCACCGGAAGAAGCCCGAAGCGTACAACATTCGAAACGTTGTGATAAATATGGCAACAAAGATGAGGACAATAGTCCGAATAAGGTAAATAGTGTAATAAAAGTATCGAGAAGAAATTACAGAAAAAACAAAACAATGTGAATATATGGAACTATTAAAACCGAAATCAGTTTTTTTTTTAATAAATTTCAACACAAGTCTTAAGAGTCACTCAAGGTGGAGTCTTACTGAATATGTGTGATAAGAAGAGGAAGTAGAAAGGGAAAATTAAGAGGATATAGCGGATAGACGACGACTGACCCTAGACTTTAAGTCTAAGGTCTAATGTTATCAGAAAGAGCAATGCAGAAGCACGTGCACCTGTGCTTTATAGACTACGCAAATGCGTTCGACAAAGTATGCCACAAACATCTGTTGGAACTGCTCAGCAATCTGATATTTGGGAAATATATTAGAACAATCAAGAACCTATACTGGCAGCAAAACGGCCTGCATACGGATAGAAAATGAGTTCAGTAAATATACAAAAATAGAAAGGGGGTGTAAGGCAAGGATGTGTCTTCTCACCGGACTTATTCAACCTATACAGCGAAGTAATTTTGAGAGAATTGGACGCAGATGACACAGTGGTTGTAGCAGACACGGAATGGAACTTACAAAACCTCCTACAGAAGGTAGCGAAGGAGATCTAAGCATAAACTACAAGAAGACAGAATGAATGGTCATCAGTAGAAAGATGAGTCCGAAATACGATTCACAGGTCGGGTACACTAAAATCAAGCAGGTGCGGAAATTGAAATATCTGACAGAGGACGGTAAGTACGACGCTGAAATCCGAAGACGTATGGGTATGGCCAAAGACGCATTCCAAAAACTAGGCAGAGTATTACGAGACAGGAGGATTTCGTTATTAACAAAGAAAAGAGTACTGAACTGCTATGTGATATCTGTCCTCATTCACGACAGCTAATGTTGTACAGTCTCCTCAAAGATGAAGAAGAGACTCGAGGAAGCGGAGATATGGTTCTACAGAAGGATGCTAAGAATATCATGGAACGAGCGTGTGAGCAACGATGAGGTTTTGAAGAGGATGCAAACAAGCAAAATACTTATACTTAAAATCAGGAAGAGGCAGCTGAAATTTCTGGGTCACGTAATGAGAAGGGAGGGCTTGGAGAATCTGATACACACAGGGTGGATAGAGAGACAAGGGGAAGCAACGTGTG